ATAAAGTGCATCGTATCTTTCTCTCCACCTTTTGCGATCTTTTCTGCGTACTATATGTGGCTTTAATTTGTCTTAATAAATCTCTCTCTATTTTAAATTCCACTTTTTAATGATAGCTTTAATATAATAAATAGTCAAGTTGTAACTGTAGTAAAAAGTTGTCCACACTTTTATTTCTCACAGCGTAGATATGTCTGCTGCGAGCTGCCTGCTGACTGAAGATCAGTTCCTGTGCTCCATCTGTCTGGAAGTCTTCGACGATCCTGTCGCCATACCATGTGGACACAACTTCTGTAAAAAGTGCATCACCGAACACTGGAAAGCCAACGCCCCGTGCCAGTGTCCCAACTGTAAGAAGGATTTCAACACAAAACCCGAGCTGCACGTCAACACTTTCATCGCGGAGATGGCCGCTCAGTTCAGACGGTCCGCTCAACAGAAAGAGAGCTGCAGCAACCCAGAACAAGAAGTCAACGAACGAAAAGAAGCCGCTGAACTGGGAAACGTTCCCTGCGACGTCTGCACTGGACCTAAACTGAAGGCTCTGAAGTCCTGCCTGGTGTGTCTGGCCTCCTACTGCGAGTCTCACCTGGAGCCTCACCTGACATCCTCACGTCTCAACAGACATCAGCTGATCGACCCCGTGGAGAACCTGGAGGATCGGATGTGCGAGAGGCACGGTAAGCCGCTGGAGATGTTCTGTAAGAACGACCAGATGTGTGTCTGCCTGCTCTGCGCTGTTCTAGACCACAAGACGCACGATGTTGTTCCTCTGAAAGAAGAATGTGAAGAAAAGAAGGCCGAGCTGGGGAAGAAAGAGGTGGAAATCAAGCAGATGACCCGGAAGAGACGACTGAAGATTCAGGAGATCAAACACTCAGTGGAGCTCAGTGATGACAATGCAGAGAGAGAGATGGCAGAAGGTGTTCAGGTCTTAACCGCTCTGAAAGAATCTGTTGAGAGAAGCCAGGTCGAGTTCATCGACACGATCAAAGAGAAGCGGAGGAAGATGGAGAAACAGGCTGAAGGCTTCATCAAGGAGCTGGAACACGAGATCTCTGAGCTGGAGAAGAGGAGCGTTGATGTGGAGCAGCTCTCGCAATCTGAAGATCATCTAGAACTCCTCCAAAGCTTCCCGTCTCTGAACACTAGTCAGTCTACCAAGGACTGGACTGAAGTCAGAGTCCATCCACCTTCATATGAGGGGGCTGTAGTGAGAGCTGTGAGCCAGCTGAAGGAGACGCTCAGCAAACAGATGAAGATGTTTGAGGCCGAGCTGAAGAGGGTCCAGCAGTACGAGGTGGATGTGACACTCGATCCTAAAACAGCAGGTCCCCATCTAATCCTGTCTGATGATGGAAAACAAGTTAAATGTGGTGATGAAGAGAAGACCATTGAAGACTCTCCAGAGAGATTTGAATTGTGTTGTGTCTTAGCAAAGCAGAGTTTCTCTACAGGCAGATTTTACTACGAGGTTCAGGTTGAAGGGAAGACTAACTGGGATGTGGGAGTGGCCAGAGAGTCGATCAACAGAAAGGGAAAAATCACACTGTGTCCTCAGAATGGTTACTGGACGATATGGTTGAGGAATGAAGATGAGTACAGTGCTTGTGCTAACGCTCCGGTTAGTCTCTCTCTGAGTTCTCAGCCTGAGAAGGTGGGGGTGTTTGTGGACTATGAGGAGGGTGTGGTCTCTTTTTATGACGTCGATGCTGCAGCTCTGATCTACTCCTTCACTAACTGCTCCTTCACTGAGAAACTCTACCCATACTTTTCTCCCTTTCTTAACAATGGTGGTAAGAACTCCGCCCCTCTCATCATCTCTCCTGTCAATCAAACTGAATAAAGTAACCGATTCATAGGAAGGATCATTTCTGTCTAGATATCCATTAAAAGGATGACCAACATCGGAGAGTTGCTTCTGAAGGTGTCTTTACATTTTGAAAACGGACACACCTGATGTCCGTGGTCCTGCTTATGGTGACTTGTTTAACAAACAAAAAAAATGGTGAATGTGTTTGTTGACGTTCTTAATTTTATTGAATTTATTGAGACGACATTGTGAATTGTAAACATATTGACAACAAAACTATTGGAACTTTTTATTGTATTCACCACTTTTTATTCTTGCTTTGGCAGAAGAGTTCAAATCAGGGTTTTTTTGTACCCGTCATTGATTGCTCTGTTTTAAGATTAAGATTAAGATTTACTTTATTGATCCCACAAGGGGAAATTCTGTTTTGGTCATGTGTGTTCTTTGCATTTGTATTTGAAGTATGGGAAAATAAATTACAGCCAGAGTGGCCAAAAACTAACTTTTGTTTTTCTTGACTTGGGAGTAAGGAACAAACCAATCAAATTAAACGTGTATCTGTGTGTGCTGCACTATCCAGGAAATGGCAAAACCGAGGTGTGGATCCAGACCCAGGTGTATTTTGATTAGCATTCTAATTTCAAACAGTGCAGATTTTAATTACATCGCTTTTCTTTGTCTTTACTGTAATGATGTCAGCAGCCCCAGAAAGTCACAGACCAATGAATTTGCTCAAATCTGAGGCCTGGTTGAGGCCACTCAGTTGTGGTGAAACGGATCACAAGCTTATCCAGGATCCGTTTAGATCACCCCAACTGTTCGGGCCGCATGTGAGATGCAGAGTAGCTGTACAAGGAAATAAATTCAGTTTTTTAAATATATTTATATGCAAGTTTTTCTCTGACTTTCCCACAGAAGTGGGTCAATAAGTGTTCACATTTCAGTGTGATTAGACTCTGTTCCTGTTGGAAGTCTGGGGGCTTTCTGTTGACGTGAGCAAGACAGAGAAGAATAATGAATTAAACCTTCATCATCTGCTCCGACTGCAACAAGAAACTGATTAGTGCAGTTCCCTCACAGCCAGGCCTTACAGGCTGCTGAAGCCTCTTAGGGCTTTACCCACACAAAGGGTTCTCCACCTCTCATGGGACCTCTGAGATAGAAACTTCAAGTGTGCATACAGGGAAAGATAATTGGACCAAAACATGGAAGTTGGTCTGGTGGCTGGGAAGGTGCCAGGTCACTTCCCTGAGTACTGCAGAGGTGCCCTAGAGCAAGGCACTGAACACCCCTCAACAGCTCTGTTGTGCTCCCTGTGTAGCAGCCTCACTCTGACATCTCTCCATGAATGCATGTTCACAGGTCCTGTTTGTGTATGTGTTTAATTCCAGCCTGTAAAAGCAGAATTCCCCCTGGGGGATTAATAAAGTGTGTAGAGAAATAAAGTGGTTACACTTTGGGCTAAAAGAAACTGCCATTTTTAAGATGCAGGTGTATTTTCCCGCCCACCTGAGCTGATAAACACTTAAAGCCAAAGTAACAATATAGTTTCTTACAGGATAGATGCTAATATGGATAGCTGATATATAATTACTGATACTGGTCTGGTTCCTTTAAATGCTATGACTGCTTGCCATTCGAGCCACAGAGAGGAGGAGCTACACTGAAAGAAGAAAAGCTTCAACGTCTCTTTCCTGAAATGAAAGTGAAAGTTTGTCCGGGCGTAACAGCAGAGCTACAGTCGGCTCTCCATTTCTCTCAAGACAAACACAACTGAATTTGAGTTTTCCTCGACTAAAGAGCAGAACCTCTGCCCGTCACTGGTGAGTACACTCGTCATTGAAGAGAAAAAAACACGAGCTTAACAGTTCAGGTTCAGGAGAGAAACATCTGAGTCTGCCTTTTTAACTTTCATTTCACCATTTACTAAAACACCATGGCACAGGAATTAGTCTTTTAAATATAAAGCACATATATCAAACATTTACCTGAGCCACAAAACAGAAGTTAAAAAAACTTCAACTCATTAATGATAGGCTGAATATAGTCACAGCTAGCTTCAGCTAAAGCTAACACAGATACTTGTCTTGACCTGTTTTTTGGCATTAACCCAAACAGGAAAGATTCTCAAAGAAGAAAAAGGACTTAGGCCTGATTAAAACTAATGTTTTAAAAAGCACTTCAATCTTTTACTTAATAAAGAAATACACTTCTACATGTGGTTTATCTGTGCTGACACTGACAAAGAGCTGCTCACTGTCTTTCATGTTTTTTAAAGCAATGACAATAATGATTTATTTATTCTAAATGACGTTTATTTACGAGATATGATCACAGCCCGGGAAATATTTTAACCCACAGCACAGGGGGAGATAAATGTTTAGGTTTCTTTAGTCTGGAGCAGCAGCATCCATCTTCTGCATGTTGTTTCCTATATGTGACTTTCTGCTAAACCTCAGCTGTGAAATCCACAAATGTGTGTGTGTGTGTGTTTGTGTCAGTAGTGGGTCCATAGAGAACAGTGTGGACCCACTGAAAGCAAATGAACACATGAGTGAATTCAATGTCTTAAAGTTAAATTTGTATATTTACTATCACTCTGCTGCTGGACCGGCTGCTCTCATGTTTGAGTCCAAGAAAAAAATGTCCTCAAGGGGACAATAAAGTGCATCGTATCTTTCTCTCCACCTTTTGCGATCTTTTCTGCGTACTATATGTGGCTTTAATTTGTCTTAATAAATCTCTCTCTATTTTAAATTCCACTTTTTAATGATAGCTTTAATATAATAAATAGTCAAGTTGTAACTGTAGTAAAAAGTTGTCCACACTTTTATTTCTCACAGCGTAGATATGTCTGCTGCGAGCTGCCTGCTGACTGAAGATCAGTTCCTGTGCTCCATCTGTCTGGAAGTCTTCGACGATCCTGTCGCCATACCATGTGGACACAACTTCTGTAAAAAGTGCATCACCGAACACTGGAAAGCTAACGCCCCGTGCCAGTGTCCCAACTGTAAGAAGGATTTCAACACAAAACCCGAGCTGCACGTCAACACTTTCATCGCGGAGATGGCCGCTCAGTTCAGACGGTCCGCTCAACAGAAAGAGAGCTGCAGCAACCCAGAACAAGAAGTCAACGAACCGAGAAAAGAAGCCGCTGAACTGGGAAACGTTCCCTGCGACGTCTGCACTGGACCTAAACTGAAGGCTCTGAAGTCCTGCCTGGTGTGTCTGGCCTCCTACTGCGAGTCTCACCTGGAGCCTCACCTGACATCCTCACGTCTCAACAGACATCAGCTGATCGACCCCGTGGAGAACCTGGAGGATCGGATGTGCGAGAGGCACGGTAAGCCGCTGGAGATGTTCTGTAAGAACGACCAGATGTGTGTCTGCCTGCTCTGCGCTGTTCTAGACCACAAGACGCACGATGTGTTCCTCTGAAAGAAGAATGTGAAGAAAAGAAGGCCGAGCTGGGGAAGAAAGAGGTGGAAATCAAGCAGATGATCCAGAAGAGACGACTGAAGATTCAGGAGATCAAACACTCAGTGGAGCTCAGTGATGACAATGCAGAGAGAGAGATGGCAGAAGGTGTTCAGGTCTTAACCGCTCTGAAAGAATCTGTTGAGAGAAGCCAGGTCGAGTTCATCGACACGATCAAAGAGAAGCGGAGGAAGACGGAGAAACAGGCTGAAGGCTTCATCAAGGAGCTGGAACAGGAGATCTCTGAGCTGGAGAAGAGGAGCGCTGATGTGGAGCAGCTCTCGCGATCTGAAGATCATCTAGAACTCCTCCAAAGCTTCCCGTCTCTGAACACTAGTCAGTCTACCAAGGACTGGACTGAAGTCAGAGTCCATCCACCTTCATATGAGGGGGCTGTAGTGAGAGCTGTGAGCCAGCTGAAGGAGACGCTCAGCGAACTCATGAAGAAGATGTTTGAGGCCGAGCTGAAGAGTGTCCAGCAGTACGAGGTGGATGTGACACTCGATCCTAAAACAGCAAGTCCCCATCTAATCCTGTCTGATGATGGAAAACAAGTTAAATGTGGTGATGAAAAGAAGACCATTGAAGACTCTCCAGAGAGATTTGAATTGTGTTGTGTCTTAGCAAAGCAGAGTTTCTCTACAGGCAGATTTTACTACGAGGTTCAGGTTGAAGGGAAGACTAACTGGGATGTGGGAGTGGCCAGAGAGTCGATCAACAGAAAGGGAAAAATCACACTGTGTCCTCAGAATGGTTACTGGACGATATGGTTGAGGAATGAAGATGAGTACAGTGCTTGTGCTAACGCTCCGGTTAGTCTCTCTCTGAGTTCTCAGCCTGAGAAGGTGGGGGTGTTTGTGGACTATGAGGAGGGTGTGGTCTCTTTTTATGACGTCGATGCTGCAGCTCTGATCTACTCCTTCACTAACTGCTCCTTCACTGAGAAACTCTACCCATACTTTTCTCCCTTTCTTAACAATGGTGGTAAGAACTCCGCCCCTCTCATCATCTCTCCTGTCAATCAAACTGAATAAAGTAACCGATTCATAGGAAGGATCATTTCTGTCTAGATATCCATTAAAAGGATGACCAACATCGGAGAGTTGCTTCTGAAGGTGTCTTTACATTTTGAAAACGGACACACCTGATGTCCGTGGTCCTGCTTATGGTGACTTGTTTAACAAACAAAAAAAATGGTGAATGTGTTTGTTGACGTTCTTAATTTTATTGAATTTATTGAGACGACATTGTGAATTGTAAACATATTGACAACAAAACTATTGGAACTTTTTATTGTATTCACCACTTTTTATTCTTGCTTTGGCAGAAGAGTTCAAATCAGGGTTTTTTTGTACCCGTCATTGATTGCTCTGTTTTAAGATTAAGATTAAGATTTACTTTATTGATCCCACAAGGGGAAATTCTGTTTTGGTCATGTGTGTTCTTTGCATTTGTATTTGAAGTATGGGAAAATAAATTACAGCCAGAGTGGCCAAAAACTAACTTTTGTTTTTCTTGACTTGGGAGTAAGGAACAAACCAATCAAATTAAACGTGTATCTGTGTGTGCTGCACTATCCAGGAAATGGCAAAACCGAGGTGTGGATCCAGACCCAGGTGTATTTTGATTAGCATTCTAATTTCAAACAGTGCAGATTTTAATTACATCGCTTTTCTTTGTCTTTACTGTAATGATGTCAGCAGCCCCAGAAAGTCACAGACCAATGAATTTGCTCAAATCTGAGGCCTGGTTGAGGCCACTCAGTTGTGGTGAAACGGATCACAAGCTTATCCAGGATCCGTTTAGATCACCCCCAACTGTTCGGGCCGCATGTGAGATGCAGAGTAGCTGTACAAGGAAATAAATTCAGTTTTTTAAATATATTTATATGCAAGTTTTTCTCTGACTTTCCCACAGAAGTGGGTCAATAAGTGTTCACATTTCAGTGTGATTAGACTCTGTTCCTGTTGGAAGTCTGGGGGCTTTCTGTTGACGTGAGCAAGACAGAGAAGAATAATGAATTAA